GCGATATGGTCATAGGAATCACAGGATAAAGTCGGGGGATGGAGAAGCATGCATGGTGTGATCATCCATGATGATGGATGACAGCATGCACATACATACATACATACATACATACATACATACATACATACATACATACATACATACATACATACATACATACATACATACATACATACATACATACATACATACATACATACATACATACATACATACATACATACATACATACATACATACCCTTCCCCCTCCCCCCCCACACACACAAACATGCGCGCGGTCCCCTTCACGCATCTTATCCAAAAACACACCAACACACACACCGGCAAGCATACGTCACACACATGTACGGACGGCACCCCGTGACACATGCCGTACACTGTCGTGGGCTTCTCTCTCCCCCCCCCTTCTCTTGCCCTGGCAGCAGCTTCAATCGTGTGTGGTTCGTCTTTCCCCCCCCCCAGCAGCGCCACACCACTCACGCACCTGTCCACATTGCTGCACGGTTCTCCGTCCCCCTCCCCCCGGGGGCCCCCGGGCGACATCCCCCCACCCGCCGCGGCCCCCGGCGACAGCGGCCCCCCCAGGGCCGCGGGGCCCCCGCGAGAAGCTGACTCCTTCTTCGCCACCACCTGCTGAATGAGCTGCTGCAGGCTGTAGTTGGGGGCCTGCGGTGGTGGCGGTGGTGGCGGTGGTGATGATGGGGAGAGGTAGAGGTAGAGGGAGGGAAATGCAGGGGGAGGAATGAGGGGGGAGCCAAAGGATGTTCAGCTTACTGAGGAAGAGAAGGGGGGGGAAGAGCGGGGCAGCCATGCAATGGGCAACAAGGCAACGGGTCAACGGACGCCTCGTGTCACCTCGTGAAGCAAAGTGAGTGGCGAGATGCGGTGTGGCAGGGAGGGGCAATGGAGTGAGGGCAGGGGGGAGGAGCGAGGGCAGGGAGGAGGAGCGAGGGTAGGGGGAGGAGCGAGGGCAGGGGGGAGGAGCGAGGAGGAAACCTGAGGCAACTGACCAGGCAGACGGTCATTGGTTCGCTCGGGGGTTGCCCGGGGGGTGCACGTATGCCTCTGCCTGGGTCCATCCTCCCCCGTCCCCGCCCCCCCGGCCCACTAACCCTGGACTCGATCTTCTTGCGGCAGATGGGGCACTGCGTCTTCTTGTTGCGGTCAATGTGCTGCTCCAGACAGCGGCCACAGAAGCTGTGACCTGCGGTCCACAACCCCCCAGAGTGAAGAGAGGGGGGTAGGGGGGGTCAGGACAGGCGCACCCGCTCTCAGCCACGCCAAGCTCCCACACACACACAGTAACACCATCCAGACTCCAAACCCCAGACTCCCCCCCCAGGGTCCCCTTACAGGATATACCTCTATAAGCCCCTAAAACATTCCGCCAGACCACCCTCACGAAGACGACTTCCCCCCACCCTTCCCTCCGCCCCCTTAGCCTCCCTTTTTCCCCGCCCTCCCGCGTACGGCAGTTGATACCCCCTGTCTTGGACGTGATTTCCCCCCTCCCCCTCCCCCTCCACCCTCCCCCAGCCCCCTCCCCCGGCCCCCGGGACCCACCGCAAGGGAACAGCATCACAGGTGCGTGTTGGGGCGGCACCATTAGCTCGTAACACACGGGACATGTGTTCTGACTCTCCAGCTCCTTCACCAAGAAGGTGTCCAGAGCGCCCTGCTGCGCGGCTAGACTCTCACTCTCCCGCTGAGGGTACGGACAGTACGACGAGGACGACGAAAAGAAGCCGATGTGTCGACACACACATACACACACAGCCAAGTGCGTGTGCGTGTGTGTATGTGTGTGTGTTTTTATGGCAGATCGGGAAGCAGCCGGAAGGCGAGAAGGGAAGGGGGGAGGAAAGGCGGGGCAAGGGTCTTGAGTTGGGTGAAACACATACACCCCCGGGTTGTGGTTAGGTTCAGACTTGGGCTGGGGTGGGGGATGGAGGGCGGAGAGCGGAGGGGGTGGGGGGTGGCCGTGGATTAGCACTGAAACCAAAGCTAGTAAGGAGATGTCACCTGCCTGCCTACAGCCCCCAAGGGTTACAGGTGCAACGGCTGAATGGCTCACACACAAAAACGCACACACACGCACGCACACACACACACACACACAAAAACGCACACACACATACACACACACATACGCACACACACACACACACATACGCGTGAGACTTACGTCCCTCCACAAACATAGTTGAAATGCGCGTGCCTGCACAAACAGACACACATGCAGGCTAACAAACATGTACTGCACCCTTGCGCACAGCACCCCATCCCCATGCACTGCACATCATGTACGGCAAAACGTCTTTTTCGATCCCCCGCACCCCCCCCGCTCCTCATCACCTGCAGCTCCACTTTGAGCTCGTTCCGCAGTCGGTCGGTGATTCGCTCTGTGAGACGGTCAATCACCTCCTCCGGCTTCACCCCCCCCACCCCCCCCAGGGCGGAGGGGAGCACGCCGGAAGGTGCGGCGCTGAGGGGGCCGTTGCCGCTGACGGACGAGACTGGGGCCGCTGCCAGCGGCGGCAACGTCACGCCAGCCGGCGAAAGGCCGCCGGCGGCGGTCGCCGGTGCCGGTGCGGCGGCGACGCCTCCTGTCAGGTGCAGAGGAGTTTACGGGGGGCCGGGATCGAAAACCGCGTAAGGCAGTGCGCCGGTGCATTAGGAGAAGGAAAAGAACGGAGTGTGCAAATCCGTGCAATGCCGTACACTTCCCTACACTCGGGATGACGACATAGCGGGATCCTATAAAGCCAATGATGATAACTTCGGGGGCTGTAGTAAGGCAGTAGTATTCGCATTCTCTGGGCCTCAGGAGCCGCATGCTGCTCTCACACCTCGCCGTTGCTGCGGCTGGGGACTGCTGCTGTGATGTTGTTGTTGCTGCTGCAGCTCCGAAACTACATGCCGCCGGTCCAGCTCTGCCTGCCGTTCTCGGAGCCATCGGTTTTGCCTGCAGGAGAATCAGAGGGGGTTGGTGGGTAGGTGGAAGGCGACGTCGATGATATTGTGAATGCGTTCTACGTCCGGTCGCTACACCCGTCCATATTGCGCTTGCCAGCAAATCAAAGTTCACCTAATATCTCGATCTGGGAAAGTTTTGACGTTCAGATCTGCCTTACCGCTCGCGAATCTCCTGCAGCTTCGCAGCGCGGTCCATGGGACCTCCCGAAGCTGACCTCCTGAGCTTCTTGGATACCACACTGTCAAACTATCCGTATTTCCAGAAGTATTCTGAAGGTCTTAATTTCGGGGCTACTTCTATCATTATGGCTAAAGCTAATGTGATGCAAGAGTTAGAAACTCAATGCATTCAAAACTTTCACCATAAGAAGCCTTTACACCATTCAGAACGCATTTATCGAGCACTTCCGCATGGCGATAAGGAATGAAATGTCGGAATGATCATATCTGACGAGCGGGTAGAGCACAGCTATCGAGGTTCACGAGAAAAAAACAGAAGATATGGACTTACCTCTGTACACGCGAGCAGAGTCAAAAACTCTACCTCTCAAAAGTACGACGGCGTTGCATGCAGGCGGACCCGCCATCCAGCATCAGGCTTTAGGACTGAATTTTACTTTAGGATCAAAGTTAACAAAGAATTCCCGTGAGCCCTTTATGTGCGTTCCTGCACAAGCTTCCAGGGAGTGCGATGTCCCGAAACTCTGTCGCTCCGTTTGGCACAGAGAAGGTTTGGCATGCAACTGCCAGCTATCCCGACGCCCCATTTATTATTTGCTTACTTAAAGGCCTCCGCCAAGCTAGTCACTGCTTGCTCTGTACAAATTTAGGAAATCGTGAATGTTCCCGCCGTTCCGCCCCGAACGCCCGGGGAAGGGCGGCACTTCCGCACCGCATGGTCTACGCGAGGTCCAAGACAGTAAACCGAACACTTCAACGCTAAGAGCTCAATGAGATCGAAGCCGACGCCAAGACCGAAGCGCACTACTTCATGTCGCCCCAAGCCGACAGCCAACGCGGAAAAGCAAGGCGGAAAAAGCAGTTATTTGCGCAAACAAGGCGACGCAAATGAATCATTCTTACTGCCGAAAGGTTACGGACCCGCCGCGTTACTATCACACCACCGACGAGCATGCGCGCTCAAGAATCAAGCCCCGAACATCCCCCACACGCATGGCATGTATGGGCTCAGGAGGCACCTCTCTCCAACTAACTTCGAGCTTTCCCGAAGTCCACGGCGACGAAAAAATGCAGCGACACGACCCAACCAGTTGTAACAAAATTAGCTTCAACGCACAGCACCTCCAGCGGCCTTTTTAATGACGGCGTTGTCACACCACCTTGACCAGGACCAGCACCAACACTACCGCCACCAGCACTACCACCCGCCAACGATTATGGAACCACCCACCACCGCCTACCCAGGGAGGGAGGGAGACAGTTAGAGCTTCGTTTCGCTGGTGGCCTATTTAGGACCAGAGAGGGGACCGGGAAGGGACCTGGATCGCCCTTAGAGTTCGAGAGGTCGAATCACGGCTGAATAGGCAATACCCTGTGTTCCACATCTTAAGACTCTTAGAAAAAAGGTTAGGCAAAAGCAAGGCACTCTACACGGACCTCATCGTGTTGATACCTGTCCGCTTCGCCTCCTTCCCCCGCCGAACGATAGGTAGGTAGGTATGCAGGTTGCAAACGTCCGCACCCGAACCCCTGTGCGCTTTGCATGCACGCCTAGGGACAACCGGGTGATGGAAGATTAGATGCTACTGTTGCTGCTACTGCTACGGTTACTGCCGATGCTACTGCTGATGCTGGTGCTACAGCTGCCATATCTGGACAACGTCTCCTGGTGCACCTGGTGCTGTTGCGGCCCCCCCTGGAGCTGCTCCCCCCTGCTTCCCGAGATGGGGCGCCCCAAGGGGGCCCCCGAGGGGGCACTGCCCCGGTGTTACGGCGCCCTGGAAGCCGACCTGGCTGCCGGGGTCGCCGACCTGGCGGCGGCCTGCCGCGCGCCCTGCCGCGCCAATAGAGCTGCACCGTAGCAGGCCTCCCCTGAGCAGACACAAATACGTACATACATACATACATGCGTACATACATACATAGCACAGTACAGCACAGCGCAGGAACCCGTGTGGGTGGATACGTATGCCTTTGGTCACCTAAACGCCATCTCTGTCGACCCCCTCTTGCAAGAACATGCAACCGCGTGGGGGTCGACGGCCCCGGTCGACCAGCAGAGCGTGTAAGCACGTGCAGCCAGTGTGCCAAGTGCCCGGTGGGCGGCCGGCCGGCCTGGTGAAGCAGTGCAAAGCTATAGCGCGGACATGGATGAAATCAAGTGGCGTAGGGGGCCCTTAGTTGGGTGGGGGGGCTATACCTCCTCTGTTCGTATCGCCCCCTCTCGTCAGGCTTGTCTCCCCCCCTCGTAAGTGCGTCCCCACCGTGCGCTGCCGGCCGTACGGGCACCCCCAGCAACCGCTGCCGTATCGCGGTCCATTTGGGATTGACAGCGCCGCCCCCGGCGGTGAGAACCTGAATGGCGACCGTAAACCCACGGACAGCAACCAATACACCGTGGTTCCGATGGGGATATACCGATATGTCTGTGTGTGTGTGTGTGTGTGTGTGTGTGTGTGTGTGTGTGTGTGTGTGTGTGTGTGTGTGTGTGTGTGTGTGTGTGTGTGTGTGTGTGTGTGTGAGCCGACCATGCCGAGG